AACTATTCTATTTTCTTATGATACTTTATGTAAGAAAGATATTCTATTTTTAACATTATATTCATTTCTGATCTTGTGTTATATATTTTCAGCTAATCAACAAGTCATAAACTATTGAAAGATCCTACTCCTTATCAAAATTAGTTTTTCAAAGAGAGTCAAAATTAAGGAACGAACTGTTGGGAATGATAAATTGTTTTCGAACTCAGACTTTGCGCATGAAGTAGGTCTCAGTAAGGTATGAAAAGCTCTTAAAAGGTAAGTGTTGTAGGCATTTTACTGCAACTTTACCTTACGGCACGGTGTGTGTCAACAAATCAGATGATGATATTTCGACTTGAAATTTTGCCTGCAGACCACTCGACTTGTAACTTGGATTCTTTGAAAATTCCAGCTCAAAAAAATGTCTCTTTCACGAATTATTAGAGTCCTAAAATTGCTCATATCTCATCGAAAGATGAGAGAACCTCATGCTTTTAGAACTTTCATATGTTGCGGACAAAACATTCTTTTTGAGCTGATATTCTCAGAAAGTTCTACTTAAAAGTACGTCTATATGTGAGCAAAAATTCAGGTCACATACCATCATTTGATTTATTGGCACATACTGTGCCATACGCCAAAATTGCAGTAAAATTGATATAATTAAAAAGAAGCCTAAGAGCACTAGAGATCGTCTTTGGGTTCAGACCTGATTAACAGAAAGTTGTTAGATCCAAATTTGCATATAGATCTAGTCAAGAGAGAGTTTTCAGGCTTGAATTCGATCGAATCCGGGTAAAGTCCGAATTCGGGACCAATCTCATAGGATCTGAAGGACACTGATCCTTTTAGGATTTTTCATACATTACTGAGGACTACCTCATCTCATGCACAAAGTCTAAGTTCGAAAAGAATTTATCATTCGCAACGGTTGTTTCACCAACTTTGACTCCCTCTGAAAAACTATTTTTGATGAGGAGTAGGGTCTTTCAATAATTTATGACTTGTTGGTTGACTGAAAATATTGTATAACATAGGATCAAAGATAAATATAGTATTAAAAATAGAATAATTTAATTTAGTTTCTAATTTATCAAATTAACAAAAGTAAATAATTTAATTTTGTTTTGAATTGACAGAAAAATGATACTTCTAATGCTAGGCCAATAACAAAAATAAACTAATGTTTCGTAAAATGTAGTAATATCCAATGTTAAAATTTCTTCAAAAAGCACCCACCAGCCGACCGAGAAGTTGAGACTGAGACACCCGTCAAAATGAATTCTTTTTTTTCATATGGTATGCGCTTCTGAATCAGCAATGTGTAAAATCATGCGATTCACAACTGTAACCTTTAGATATGAGTTTTGAGTACTTTTTCACTTTCATAGAAAACCATCAAAGCTTCTTTTAACAAAACCAGTAGCATATCAAGAAAGCAGATCAAACAAAAATTATTTTGTGATGTACCTAGAAATAGAGTGTCGAGACCTTAACGAAATGAGCCATTTTGCTGACCACTTATCTCCTACTGGTTCAGGTTTATATATGAAACAATGTCCAAGACTAGTCATTTTTTCGAGTGAAAAGCATCAATTCTAGTAGTATATCGACTAGTATGCAGTGATGTTAATGACCTCCAAGCCGATGTTTCCATATTTTATCGAACTTTTCATCTCTATAAAAAAATTTGAAAAACTTATCCCTTGAGAGTAAAATATTCTATCTAATCAGAATCAAAGCGTTGTCCTAAAAAAAATAGCACGCATAGTACTTTCAAAGACTGCAAAGAACATTCGACATGCTTAGGCTCCTGAAGAAATTAAGAATATGGCAAAAAATAGTATTGCATGAATCGTTTAATATGCATTTTTTCTTGGAACACTAAAGATACTATCACACGAAAACACTAAAACGTTGAATCTCGAGGTTTTACATATTGCTAATTAAGGACCGCATATCATCATTAATTTTCACAAGTTCCTCGGTTTCTAGCACAGCCATCGATGATTTTATGAATCCTCTCTTCATCAACGCACTATGTAAGATGTAGAATATTTGCGATATCAAATTTTCGAGTGCTTTGAATTTTGCTGCTGATTTATGCTATTCCTTCGCTTCCATCAACATTTTTTTTCTTCTTCTTCTATAACATCAGTGACCGATGCAGTTGAATAGAATAGAAGAATCAGATCAACGTTTATTATCAAACGTACTGTTGAAGGATGATACCCCTCTTAACCAAGATAAAAATCCATCACATACAACACCATTGCGCGAACAGTCGTCATCCTCAAAACTGGCGCCCAAATCGTCAAGCAAAAACAAGCGCTGTCTCCTATTTGTGATTCTACTCCTAATATGGATTTCAACATTGGGAATGTTGATAGGCTACTGTGTTTATCAAAACAACAAAATCAATCAATTGAGAAAGGAATTGACATTAGAAAAGACAAGATTTATGAATGAACGCAATAACATGATTTGTGTGACAAAGCAACCAACAACAACTCACATTCAAGAATCTACAAAAGATAAAGGTAAGAAAACGACACCAATATTTCAAATATGGCTTACTTACATAAATTCTATTCCGATGTTGTTAGATGTAACGTTCACTATAAGCATTAACCCAAAAAAAAGTGAGATTTTTCTTCATATCTCGTCTGAATTATAAAAAAAATTTTTCATTCAAAAAACAGATTTTTCGTGAAGTCATAGATTTTAGGGAATAAAGATATTGAAACGCGTGACATACATTCATCTAAAGAAAACAATATCTGCACTCCTTTCGTATCTTTATGTGATTTTCAAGTTTTGCAGTGTTTCCCACTAAAACGAGATAAAGCGAAGATAATTGATTCTAATTTCTAGTAATTTCATTGCTAAAGCAATACTTTTGCATATACAACTTGATTCATTTATTATTCATTATTACAGTGCGACGACCTCCTTCAACTTCAAGCACATGTAAACCCACAGATGAGCAACACTTAAAATGCACAGGTGTTGGTCTAGTTTCGACGGTACCAGATGCGTGTATTGATGATGGTGGAGTAAATGGCATCGCTGACAACCTCGAAATCTACTGCTACAATGGTCAAACTCGATTTTGTCTCTCGGGCGAGGCTTGTCCATGGCGACTACCATCTCTCGATACTAAATCAGTTATCACTGAAGAAGAGACATGTTCGAGAGCGGGACTGAATACCGATTTTATGGCTAAGGCGTCATGCCAACAGTGGCGTGGATATAACAGCTACAATTGCTGTGACGGTGGACATATTTCACTTGCTTGATCGTAGTCTAGTTCACATTTTTATTCGCATTAGTAATAAACAACATAGCTATAAATAAGAGGCATTTGATACGTTGAAAGACAAATAGAGTGATACATTCTCTTTCAGTCTGCTTGAAAAGAGCCCTGAAACGTGTTTATGTGTTTAGTACAAACGAGTATTCTCGTGCATGTACAAATGATTCAAATGGTCTCACTAACTTGATTGATTGACTGATTGATTGGACGAATATCTGATGCTTTCAAACATTCTAAAACGATAGAAAAAGAACAGGAATCAATTTGTGATAGTTATTAAAAACCGAAGCGCAGTGAGAAGTCAGATGGACATATACGAAAATATTATTTTCTAGGATGTAACCATCTGGACAAACATATATATGTGTAATTTATTATTTTCTAGAAAATCATTTCTCAACATTTTACAGAGCCTCATGAAAGGACATCGCAAGGTTGTAGGCCTTAAATTCATATGAACAAAGAAAGTTGCATCGCTTGTCAATATAACATAGTATTACACAAATAAACAATGTCACAAAAAATGTGCTCCTCTGTGTGTGCTTTATGCTAACGGTGTGGGTATAGGTGCGGATGTGAGTATGCCTTCATGAGAATAACTATACCCACATACACACCCATAGACTGCACCATTGCCCTCATCAACATCCACACCGACACACACCCCATCAATGCTCACACGCACACTCCACTCACCCACACCCACATCATAGAATCTATATAAAGGAAAAGATTCAACAAATAAGAGACAGCTTCGAGCTAGTGAATGAACGCGATTGGTAACTGATATACTACATTGACAAATCGATCGACTCAAATAAAATCGACCATGGTTGTTAATGGCATATCTGTATTAATCGTTTCTTTTACTTTTCGAATCTTCGCAATAAAATTAAATCACTACAGTACTCAATATTTTGAGCAATGTGTTATTGTTAGTTAATTTTTTTTTAAATCTGTACCTTTGCTTATTTCTTTTCGAACGATTCATTTCATACTTTTGCAGCATGACATTTGTTTCGAACTCATGAAAATTCGATGACTAACTCAGTCAGTCATGGATCTATGACAAGCAGAATTGCTTACTCGACGCCGCCTTTCTTTCTAATTTACCCCTCACATTTCTGACTTCCAGAAGACTATGAGGTACGGATGTGTGTAAGAGTACGAATTTACCTCATCTACACCCAAATTCAAAAAGTGAAAAGAACAGTTTCATTCGAAATCCGATGTTGACTTCAAATATATATATCTGTGAAATATATTGTGGGCAAACAAACTATCTTATCGCCATGTACCCTTTATTATCAGATAACTCTTCTTTAGTTCATTCACCTTGAGAAATTAACTTCTCAGCTTAGTTAAAAAATAGCCTTAGCAGTCACGTCAAATAGATGAAAACTAAGTTATGACCGTCAGAAAAAAATGTGAATTAAATAAAAGTACTTGTAAACTATAAGAACTTCCTGCGCTATTGTATTTCTTCAATTCTTTACTGGAACCAGAATGAAGTAATATTACGTTTACTTTAGTGAACAGTTTCCTGAAGGATATTCTGACAACACTAAAGCCTTTCTTTTTGTTGAAAAGTGACTTAAAAACGACACAACCAATAGTGCTCGGAGTATAGCACATCAACTCAATTTATTATAATCTCAATCGACAAAAATCAATTTTTATTTTAAAACTGCAAACACACATATCAATCCAAAGATAAATTAGCGATTTCGATAGCTGATCGAAAGCGAGCTGCTACAGCATTTCTGCAGGCCATGCCAGAATTAGCTTTCTTCATTTTCATGAGATGTTTAACTATGGGTCTAACAGATTTCGACAGTGTACTGAATGTTAAATTAATCATCAATTCATATACTTTGTTCATTGCACGATCACAACGTCCCAAGGATTTCGTAGCATCAATAATCATTTGTGCAAGATACCGATTATCCATATGCCAATGATTAACGACATCCGAAGGCCATATCTGTAATGCTAATTGACGTATAAGTGCCTGTTGTTCGGCTGTAAGCGAAGCATCACCGTCATTTGCGATGCATATAGTAGCCGTTGCCCATAGTAAAGAAAATATAAGTAGAATTACAATGTTGTATTGCATCTTGACTTTGATGCTTTGAAATGATAGGAAACCTTTGATTTGCACACAATATTGTTTGTAGGTAAAAAATCTGTTGACCTTTCGAGCGAGATAATGAAACACAATACGAAAGCCATTTATTCTTATCTCTAAAGGGTAACCTCTTAATTGTATAATAATAAAAATGTATGTGGTCTTTGTACCAATAATCATATCGCTGTCTCGAGTAGAGACCGGCGTGACCATAAGATTGTGACCAAAGAAAAAAAAAGTTATTTGATAATAATTTTGATGGTAAGTATACAAGAATAAGTCTATTTTGTCTCTTGTATTCAGACTTTTCTCCTCTTCAAAATGATGTATAAAAGTTGAGGATAAAATGGTTCTAGCCAGAGAAAACTGCTGCACATTCTTCGTGACCAGTTCTGGTCACGATCAGTCACGAAACTTTCTGATCACGACTAATCTATTGCAGTTTTCTCTGGCTAGGACCATTTTATCTTCAACTTTCATACATCATTTTGAAGAGGAGAAAATTCTGAATACAAGCAACTAAATAAACTTATTCTTGCATGCTTATCATCAAAATTATTATCGAATAACTTTTTTTTCTTTGGTCACGATCTTATGGTCACGTCGATTCTCTAGTCTTGAGGCATTCCTCCGTATCATCGAATGGCATGAATTTGGTAGAACGAAAAAATGTTAAAAGTAAAAAATATTAAAAGTGCTATTAATACGCCTCTAGTATATCCTTTCATCAATACTGAATGAATAATCTGCAGCAGCATCCATATATTGTACTTATATATGGTAGTTTGTGCTGAAGTTGCATTTATAATACATTCGATATTTTCTATTTTTGACAATTTTTCTTTCCACCAAATTCATACATATTGTGTCTTATAGAGCTTTGTAAGCCGCGGCTCGTGAGCGAGTTTAGGCCCAACTGTGCCGGGTCTGATTCTGGTTGAAATTTAAAGATTGTCAGATTTTTTCCGGATTCATTCTTCCTAACGCAACTCGCTACTCCCTCTATATTTTTTTCAGGTTTGATCTAAAAAGCTTTCAGCGCAATCCCTATGGGATAAAAATGTGAAACGCGATGGAGCTTGTGATGTTGTAAATGAACGAATTCAGCAATATATATATCAACTTTTGAGTTATTATACAGTGTCATAGTGAATGTAAAAGGAAGACGAAAAATGGATATTCTAAATTCTATCGGGTTTCAGAATATTTAATAATAAACTTCAGTTTCCTAGCTATATCTATCACAGTCTGTGATAAGGCGTTGCTAAGATGTCGGTCACGGTCTGTAGGAGGGGGGGGGGGGGGGGAGAGGGCTGAGGGTGGGTCCAAATTTATGCCCCTAAACACTTTAACACTCCTTTTAGATCGTGTTTCACAAAATCAATCTGTCATACAGCTATCGATTCATATTATTTAATAAAAAGTTAAGCAATATTCACATAGTTTCTTCATAAAGTTGGAACCATAACACCTGAAAATCTTACAATTCTGTAATAATATGTTGATTTGATGATCTACCTAAGATTCAAAAAGGTTTTGTTATATTATATATAAGAATAATAAAATTTGAAGCTGTTTTAGAATTAGTGAGATCTATCGATATCATATTGATTTGTATACCGTACTTTTATAAAAATTTGCAATTTTTATCGAATAACTAATCCAAGCAAAGGATCTAATCTAGCATAAATAAACGAATCAGATAATTCGAGTCTGGCCCGATACGGATTCCATTACATTGGATCGGGTCAACCTCGGATTCACTTGGACGATCTCGAGTCGAGTGCGAGCGGATTTGAACAGTTGAATCCATGTATAACTCTAGTGTCTCATTATTTTCTCTATCTTCCTCATAACAATTAACCTCTTTCCCGCTGTATCCTATATGCTTATGTTCTGTATATGAACAATATACTTTGAAAAGATGGAGTTGCCAAATAAAAATCATGCCATATAGCAAAGACAATCAGACCTGTTCAGTTTATCATTACAGCCCTGATTATTTTTTATCAGTGAATAACGTACAAAAGGAAGTGGCGTCTATGCCTTCCCCCCCCCCCCACCGCTAGTTTTTTTTCTTTTAAATATTTTTTTGTTGGGACTGACGTAAAGATATCAGATTACTAAGTCAAACCTTGGACATTTCTAGTTTTGGAGAGAAAATCAATTGTTTAGAATGAGTATCATTTTCAGCAAATATTGATCCTTCCGTTATATTGTGATTGGTATCTTCTCTATAGATTCATCAAAAGTCACCAAAATTTTACTGTATATACAAATAAGGATCCTCTACAAAATAAGATTGAAACCATCTTACCTTGTTGCTTTATTAACGAGTAGTAACTATCATAAAAAGATTCCTTTGAAATACCTATTTTGCAGTACAACCACAAACATTGTTTTGCTTATAACTTTACAAGGACTTCGGTTTGAAAAATAAAATTTTTATCAACAATGCATCTTCATATGGTCCATCAAATAATTTTAAAAAATTTTAAAAAATGATGATTCTTCTCAAAGTAATTCATAGGTATAAAGGAAGAATGCTAATTGGTTGCGAAAAAAAATACCATACGAGACGAAAGAAGAGTTGTTAAGAAAAAAGCTTTTAAATAGATTTGTTTTGAGTTATAATGATCTTTAGAATTACAAACGTGCTACGACGTATCCTTTTTTCTTTCGTTATCATATACTATGTCGTTTTTTTTTACTATTGAATATCTTGTCTTAATTTCTCTCTCGACCATTTCTCTTATGGACATTGCCGTCTATATGTTCTTAATTACCATAAACGTCTAAAATTATTCGTAATAACTTCACTGTTGTTTACTTACTATTGATTTCTTTTTTTGAGTAAAAAAAATGACATTTACCAAGCTATTTCTTGAATCAGCCACCACCGGCTCGACGAGAACACAATGCATATCCTGTCATCGCTTTATATATAATCGTATTTTTAAAAAGAAAAGAATCAATGGTTCATTATCGGTTGTTGGAAAACTGCTTTCTCAACATAAAATTAAGTACAAATTTGTATTTAAGAGAGTATTAATCAATTCTAAGCATAATTACATATGCCATTCATGTGATGCTAAAGATTTAACAGAATTAATTATTCCAACAAAATCAAAAACAAATGAACAATTGTCAATATATCATGAAGCTTTATCCTATGTAGCAACATATTTTAAAAATGTATTTCATTCTGAATTTTATTGTATATTCTATGATACATTAAATAATGAACAATGTGAGGCGTTCAGTGGGTTAACTAAACATCAAATACTAGAATTAGCAACTAAATACAATTTAAATGAAAAAAAAATTTCTTATTCTACACAAAGTGTAGCACTGATAATAATGATCGCCTTCTTGGTGAAATATTTGGCATTTCTCATCAATTTATTTCTGATTGCATTAATCAGTCTATGGAAGATCTATTTAATAGTTTAGTTAATGATGAATTAGGTACTAACTCATGGAACAGAAGAAAAATCACGGTACATACTCTAGAGTTTGCAAAACAATTATTGCAAATTAAAGCCAATAACATTGCCGTCTGTATGAATGGTTTTCCAATATAACGGGTGGCCCAGAATAAATTATACCATTAGTATTTCTAATATGTCTCCTCTGTTTTTCAATGAAAAAAAATAAGCTTTTTTTATCAAAAAGAAGCGCTTTAAATTTTGCACAATACAGTATATTTCATTTAATGAATATAGTTTCCTTCATCTTTTTTATTTTACGTAATCTCATAGTAAAATCAAGTACAGAATTTAAACTTTTTTTTTTGTCAACTTTTGTTACGGAACGTTTTATCTCTTCAATCAACGTTGCTTTTGTTGTTATTCGATCCAAATTCATACATTGAGCCAGTTCGTTCCATAAACTGTAATCTGAGGGGCATAAATCAGGTGAATTGGACGGCCAACGCTTCTTTGGAATGAAATCAGGGAAATGCTTGGCACCCCAGGTTGAAAAAGCCCGATCGTAAACGACCGTACACAAACGAAATACGACGACTTACGATGGTCGTATACGATGTTTGTATACGTCAATCGTATACGATGCAATACGGTACTATACGATAGTTGTAAACGACCGTTCCAAACGCCCATCGTAAACGACGTTTGTATACGATCGTATGTTTGTCGTGTTCGACGCTAAGTAATTTTCTTTGTATAAAAGAATTTTTTTGAATAATTATATCAGTTATGATCGTACAATGAGCAGTAAATATTATTTTAAACTAAACAATCTGTTTTTCTTTTTTTTTTTGTAAATTATATTAACAGCAAAACGAACAGCAACTATTAATTTATTTAAAGCCACGCCCCCTCAAAAAAGTCACTTTTCGTCAGAATGACCGAAATTAAGATAAATGCAGGGGAAGGGAGTCTGTGATCTGATCTTCCACTAATGACAAAAATTTTTACTCGACATCTCGTTTTTTTCGAAAAATTGTTGAAGACTTTCGTCATTCCCTATTCGAAGAATAAGCTGCTTTCGAAAAAAAGAGATAATCTTTTTCGCTCTTTCTCGTTCTATAGATTTTCGATCGCGTTTGCAAGAATTCTCGAAGGAGTTTCATTGTAGCCAATAATTTATTTTGTTTGATAGAGCATATAAAACTGCAGTGCCTATGAGAGTCCGTTTTTTATTAAGCTTTGCTTTCATTATATATACAAACATTTATATAATTAGGGCGATATTTTTTGAGTTTGTTAGAGTCATTGAACTTTCGATTCCTTTTTTTCCCTTTAAAAAGTAAGAATTTTAAAAAAAAGGGCTCTCCTAGATAGTGCATTCTCACATACTCTTTCCAACAAAAGAAAACTAAATGCATAAAGTGAAGACAATAGAGAATTTTTGAAGCCGAAATTAGCTATTTTTCGATCCTTCTTTGGTCAATATCTCCCTCAAACATCATGTCATAGGGCTGAAAATTTTATCGTAGCCTTCTCACATCAGCCCCAACATATCCT